CGTTGCCTTTGGATTAATGTCGGATCCTGGAACGCTTGCCTGCGCCTGGATTCACGGCAAAGTTAGTAATTTGAATCCTGACTGTCTGGTCAAATCAGAAAGGCGGTGAGACCACACATTTTAGCAATTCGTTGTTAGGACATAACTCACACATCTGAAGCAACTGCAAAACTGTGATACATTCTATAGCGATAACCCTTTGGCTATTGTAGAACCACGTGAATTTCCAATGACGGTTTTCTTTAATTTGAAGCTATGCAGTTCATTCAGATTCCTTGTTGCTGCTGGCACTGTTGGAGTTTGGAAATTGATTTCAGTCTACATACTCCAACCACTTAGTAAAAGAGATAATAAGTATTCGAAGTTTACAGTTTGATGCTTCTGCTTCCAGCTGTCAAAAACAGTCTATGTTTAGATTGGAACCGCAAACTGAAGCACACTGACTGCAATTTGCCGCACATCCTGCTTCTACTATTTAAAAATTTTGCATTCGGAACCTTAGTTTTTAAATCATATCATCAACTGAACCACATTTAACACAGAAGGCAACTAGAAAAACTTTTCAATTAATTTCAAAAGATTGCCCCTTTCCAAGAGTGATTTTACCTCAACTTTGTTGGACTTTGCCTCCTGATAAAAATTTGTGCATTTTCCTCTTCCTGCCCCGATAATTATAACGTCGTACCGTACTATACTGTGAAAAAAAACGATCCGTTTCTCTCTCTTTAATTTGTCACTGATTTTTGCCTTTCTAGGTTGACATAAGAGATTCAAAAACCGGCGATGTAATACTAAAGCATTCGGTTACTGGTCCAATTGCAAATGCATTTGTATCCACAGATCATCAGCTTGTCATTGTTTCCACTGATGGAAAAGGCTTGTGGATTTTGTTACGTTTCATTGCAAATGACTGTGCAGATACAAATGGGTATATTAACTTATTATCGTAAAGTCACTTCCGAAAGCGTCTCTGTTTGTTCTAGAGGCGTTATTTATCAAGCATTCGAGTCTAACAGATGGTCAGCTTCTCACTGTGCCTGAATGTGGTGTAAAATTCAAATTTAGACAAGCTACACTGAGGCAGGACAAACTAGTAACTTGGAATTTTTAGGTTTCTAATTGATGGTTTATAGCAAGTCGATTAATCTGAGAATTCAGATTATTTGGTTTTTGAGCCCCATGACTTCTCGACCTGTGATTAAGCGCCAAAATACGAATTAGTTTAGTTAGTATGCATGCCTCTTCAGTGTATTTGCGTAACTTCTCCGAAGGCCGCCCGAGTGGTGACTTTTCGTTATCGCCGGGCGTGACATTCACTTGCTGGCGGTAAGGCAAATAACACGTTCTCCCCACCGAATTTTGTTTCCCATGTGATCGCAATATATCCTGTTGGCCACTCGTGTGAAGGAGACGAAGAGTTTGGTTGCTTATATGATCAAAAAGAAACACTCCAAGTATCCTTCACATCGTTGGACTAGATGCGATCATGCAGAATTTCTTACACATATTCTCCATTTCCGTTCGACCTGCTACCCGACATCCAATCTCATTCTTAAACGCCAACGGTGTGGGGTGGTGTAGCAGCTGTCCTACAATTCAGGTATTGCTTCTTTTGAAACACTTTATGCTTGTCAAGCTTCTCCTTCATCCTTCGTCTTATTTGAACAGTACTTCACGTTCCGGGTTTTATGTCTTTTCGTGCTTCTCTTCTCTAATAATATTTTCATTGCTATGGAGACTTTTGAAGTGTGAGCATCGAAGTCGGGTGCAACTGGCTTATTTTGCGCACTCAAAAAGGTTAAACATGCTTTTTTAGTTCTCGTAGATAGACCGCTCGGTATTCCTTACCTGTCGTTTTATAGCCTTTGCAGTGATTTCTCGGGCCTGTCACACTGACTTATCCTTTTTTCATGAATGGGAATAATGTGCATCTTCCTCCCCACATGCAACCATTGTTTCCAGAACTGGGGAGGGGCGCTATGCAAACACCTTTGAGAATGTGCGAAGCATCGGCCAAGATGTAATCGATTTCGTCCGCTTCTGCGTTTGGTGTCAGCGAAGTCCATCCCCGTCCTGTGTCTTTCCGGTGCAGATGTTGCCAACAAACGGCTTTTCGAAAAAAGAAAATCCTGTTCAGAGACGTTTTTAGTGCTGAGGTTTGTCACTGTTTGGGTTTTCCTTTTCAGTTCATGGTTTTGTGATTGATGAAGGTGTTACTGGCATTGACAATGGACAAAGTTTGCTTCATGAACTTGGCATTAAAAAGCACAATCTCTTGGTAGGTTTCTGTTTTTTGGAATTCGCCATTAACACAGTTTTTTTGGGAATTTTAAGATTTTTTTACTTTTCAGACGGAACTCCAAAATTACGAACAGTGTCAGGACGGTGGTGTTGTTGACGAAATTGGTGCGAATGAAAAGAAAATACCGGTAGGCTTTATGCTACAAATAAGATGACTAGTAGTGTAGATGTAGAGATCTCGATAATGTTAAGCAGCTGTCGTACTGAAGTAACATTTTACAGGATGTCGTTAACACTCACCCGTAATAAGCATTGCGTACAACTATGATTTCACGGGACTGTATGGGTGGCTGACTTTTATCTCACATCTACCGAACATTAACACGAGTGCAGCTGTCAGCAAAACAATGCTTCTTTTCCTCCCTTTGTTCTTGGTGATTTCTCCGCCCCAAGCACCCTGATCCCCTGCGCATATTCTACCAAAAATTTTTTTTTATAATCCTTTTCTAGTGACGATGATGCCTTGCGCAGCCCAGACCTAACGAGCATTTTTTTGTTACCAGTAACACTTGGACAGTTGAAGCTGTAAAGATTTTGTTGGGATGCTCGTATACAGCCAGCGCATATCTGCCAGGCTTTCGCTGCTGTGATGCATACCTCCAGTTAGTACTCACTGCCTGTTCGACGTCCGCAAATTTCGTCTGCGTAGGCTATACCGGTGAGCATCATTATGCGTTTTTGCATATTTATGCAAATGCAACCTAGTAGAAAGCGTACCGGCTGCCGGTACGAGGATGCGTTTTTTGCGCAGTTCCC